CGGGACACACATAACACATTCCCTAACAACCTTAGTCCAGTGTTTCCCAATTTTTTTTTTTATGGGGACCCATATTTTAAAAGTCACAAACCTTCGCGAACAAAGTCAATAGACATTATTCGTAAACTCCTGGGAAACATGATGCGAGACGACCCCAAAAAAAACTCTTGCGACTCCGGGACACACACAGTTGGTTTTCATGAGTTGTGAAGACTTCACATAGACATAACACATTCCCTAACAACCTTACTCCAGTGTTTCCCTTTTTTTTTTTTATGGGGACCCATATTTTAAAAGTCACAAACCTTCGCGAACAAAGTCAATAGACATTATTCGTAAACTCCTGGGAAACATGATGCGAGACGACCCCAAAAAAACCTCTTGCGACCCACCTGAGGGTCACGACCCAGTCTTTGAGAAACAATGTCTTACTCTAATTCTGACTATTACAACTGAATGTCTAATCCTTATCCTTGCTCTGACTCTAACCCTAATAACCCTATGCCTTAGTCCAAACTAAATCATACTGCAGAAAAATATACACCCACACTAGTGGCCACAGGAGGCGCCAGTGTGTATGTGATCCCTCTAGAGCTTGAACCCAGGACATTCATATAAGGCTCATGTGATAACCACTACCACTTTTTTTTTCTTTAATCATTTTTACATATGTCAATCCTAATGATATCTAATTTTAAAAAAAAATTGTTCTGTAAAATGTTTTTGAAACGAATCTGTTGAAATCAACTGAAAGTAAAGTTGTCCAGTAGAAGGGGTTTTCTTTAGACATTACTTGAGTTTCTAGCTTTTTCGTTTGTTCTTTAAACATTACTTGAGTTTCTAGCTTTTTCGTTATCTTTAGGTTGAATTGTATTTTTAACTGTTAATGATAATGATACATTTTTCCAATGTAGCATTTTGTCTAATTTAGCTTTTAACATAAGTCAACTGTTAAAAATGATACATTTTTCCAATGTAGCACTTTGTCTAATTTAGCTTTTAACATAAGTTACTTGTTTTATATATATTTCTGTTTGCTAATGCATTTTCTTCAAGAAACTGTCTTTCATGTTGATAAATTTGGTTGTGGCCTTTTAGATGTTAAATTAGTTTGAGTAATCAAATGGACAATTACATATATATATATATATTTACATTAGTTTATAAACTAATTAGAGGTCATATTTATACGTATGTGTGATAGCATCATTTGAGCACCTGTTTAAACAGTGGTAATTCCCACAAAGAAAGGAAAAACAACAATGGAAAAATCAACATTCTGACTGTGTTATTGTTTCACCCTGACCATTAGAAAACTATTATGATGATATCACACACACACACACACACACACAATATGAATGTGTCCTGGTATTCAGCAGCTCTGTGTTCACATCTGCTCGATAGAAATTAGGTTAAAGACGGCGAGAGCAGCGACACGGCGGTAACATAACCTGACAGACAGCAGGCCTGAAACACTGCACATGTTCAAGTGAGAAATAACACAGTCATCGGGTGTGTAAAAGGACGCCAGTCAGTCTTTCACCTTCCCCGTTCAGCTGTTTTCGGCACAGCACTAGCACTGGTGCAGCATTCTTACATCATTTTTGCTTTTTAGCACACGGGTAAATATTTCATTCAGAGAAGACAGACATCTTGTTTGAAGGACCAAATCTCTTCTGCTAATTGTATGTTCTGTGAGATCTTATGAACTGCTGAGGAAATATAATGTTTTAGGTTTAACAGTTGGTTTGAACCACTTAAACTAACCCTTCATGGGGAAAAAAAAAAACTTCAATATTTAACCGTGACGCAGTGACACTTTTGTCATGAACAGGAAGTTATTGTGAGTTGCGTCAAGTCCGTCCCACACTGACCCAGTGATCTGCCACAGGAAGCGTCCCTGAGGCGATGAGCGAAAACAACCAACACTCTGTCAGCAATCAACTACAGACATGACGTCACCGTCCTGGGACGGGAGCGTTCGCAGCACAGCCTCGTTATTTCAGACAAATCTGTGAAAGTTCGGAGGTGTAGAGTGAAGCGCTGACACACATGGCATTGGACTGGACTCATTATGGTTCACTGCAACATGAACTCAGGGTTGTGGGTTTTTTTTACTGGACCGATCCACCTGCCTGTGGAGTAAGCAGTTTCCTCGTATGTTTATACAAAATCACCTGTTTTGGTTCATTTGTGCTGAGGTGAGATGCTGAGAAAATCTAGATTTCCTAAAAAGGATAGGATGTAGTGGTATTCACTAACCTTCAGAAAAGGTTAAGTAACAACGCAGGTTTTATGCAGTACTTTTCTTAATAATCCCAATAATAAAGGTTGATATTCAGACTCATCCTAATGTTATTCAAAGCTACACTTCATCCAGAACCTTCCAGAGACCGTGCTCTGCAGGGTCACATTTATCACATTTTTCCTGCACTGTCTTTGCTGAGGTGCAGATAAAATATGTGACCCTGAAATTTGAGAACTGTTGATGATGAGCACCTTTTCAAATGCAGCCGAGTGAGACACTACTAATGTGATATCGTGTTTTTAAAGAGGTTTCCCATTTCATGGGCGTTGGCATTTATAATCAATAAACTTTTACGTACCTGCACAACATTAAATTGTAAAACAGAAAATAGAAAAGGGACCCAGTCCCAGCCCATTCTGCTGACTATAAATCTTATGACATGTAAGCAAGCGAACAGATGACAGTACCTTTGCCATATGTTCCAAATCCACTTGAAAAGCTCACACATGTACACAAAATGCCTGGTCATACACGTCAAACATATTTAACCAAGCAGATAATAAAAAAGCATCAATGATAAAGTGAATAAGACTGGTATCCGTCTTAAAAAGGAAAATCAGTCAGTCGAGAAAGTAACTATATGTTAGCATGCTAAGTGTAATTTAAAATAGGGCTAGAACATAACAACAATACATAAAAAGAAAAAAAAAAGTGTTGATAAAACTTAAAAATAACACAATTTTAGTCTGCAATTGTCAGGCATCGACAAAAATCCCTGGAAAGGCAGAGCTTTGTTTAATATTAGGGAAACATTAGCATATGGCTAGCTTTCTTATGGGCCAACTTGTAAATCCACGCTCGGTATAAGGACAGCTTCTAGGTATTATAAAAAACTAAAATACTTTTATAGCAGGAGTCTCATTAGAGGTTCCTGAGATCATTTATGTTAAAGGTTTTCTTTATTGGTTATAAAAGACAAAACCAACTGCCATTTCATTGGGACGTAGCTAAAGATTCGAAAGAAAAGTTGACTGTCTTTAAACTATTTATAGAATTCAATACATTGTGTCAGAGTCTACGGGTTGATTAGAACAGGAGTGGCCAATAAGTAGATCAGGATTTACCAGTAGATGGCAGAGAGAATGCTGATAGATCAATGAGCAATTCAAATAATATAAAAATAAATAAATATATATATAAATATATATTTAAAAAAAAAAATATAAAATATAATTCTATGGTGTGTACCATAAGATTTTAATCATAATGTGCCGTGGAGCTAGATGCATTTAATCAGTGCCTAAACATATAAGGTGTATCTAAAGTATGTTGAGAATATATGAGCAAATATATATTTAGCGATCACTTTAGCCTCATTTGACCAGGAGATACAGAGAGAAAAAAAGGGATGTAAAAAAATCTTTCATCTGTCTTTGAATTTATCCAAAAACATTTTGACTTGATTCACCGATTCCTGCAGAGTTCTATATTTCGTGCCAGAAAAATTTCAAAAATTCATAATAATGATTTAAAAACAACAACAACAACAACAAACACAACCACCAGATCCATTTTTTAATAATTCGTCATCCTAAAACTACAGCCCAACATCTGCTGTGGAAGCACTTGCACTAACGTTGTCAGCGTCAGTCTGTCCACAGAAGAAGGGCAGAACCAGAGCAGTGAAGAATGGCAGCCAAGATAAGAGCAGCTTTTCTGACAACACTCTTCCAAAGTTCTTCAGCCCGTCTTCACTACTCAGCTGGATCATCCTCCTGGACCCCCTTAGTCACTACAGTATGACACACACACACACACACATACTGAGTGTGTTTGGTGCAACATGGTGATTCTCTTGTTATCTGCTCCACAGCAGCTTTGTTTGCATGGATCATCTGGAATCTCCATTTGTCACTGCTGCTGCTGCTGGAGTGGAGACGTACTAAAAAAAAAAAAGCCCCCCAAAAAACAGTGAGTCAACAGAGTCCGAATGCACATCGTGGCTCTGCTGATGTTCTCTGCTCAACCATTAAATGAACAGATGGTGTGTAAGTTGAATTGTGAAACAGTACAGAATCAATAAGAGCCTGTTTCCAAACAGTGAGCAGCTCAGAAAAAATTGGAGCTGCAGCTCCAGTGGTCAGCTGTGGTCAGGAAGTGGATCGGGCGCTCTGACGGGACAAACACTGTACGGTTTTATGCTGAAGAAATGAAAAAGGAAAAAGAAATAGAAATGCTGACATGCTTGCTAAAAAGAATAGAATAGTTTTCACTCAAAGCCAGTTGGAAACTTTTGCACAAACACAGGATCTTTAACCATCAAAAGCCCGGTTCTGCGGCCAAAAATTTGACTTTTCTGTGGCCTCAATTAAAATCTTCAAAAATTCTGCGTTCAAAAAGCTATGTTCCATGAAATATGTCCCGGAGGATTCTGGGTAATTACCAGGCCCATATATTTTGGTCAAGATTTAGATATTTATCCAATGTCCCAAAACTACTATTTATTCCAAATAGTTTTTCTTTGTTTGTCAAAGAGCAATGAAATCTTCTTCCACTAGGTGGCTGCAGATGGTTATTAAAACTAAGAAAATATTATCAGAGCTGTTGAAGAAGATCTTTGTGTCTTTCTTCAATTCCTGCCAGTATATTAGCATTGTCTTCAACTTAACAGGAGTACATTTTTTAGTAAATTTAAAGTAGAATATTACTATATTTCATCATATATACTTTTTGTGAGATTTTTGTTCGGTGGTGTGCCGTGGCCCAAAAAAGGTTGGCAAACACTGCCCTACAGAACGGAAGAAAAAAGGAAAATAAAGTTTCTGATGTGAAATGAAGCTCTGGTCGGAGTCATATGACCATGTGACCAGAACACAGACACACTTTCACTCTCTTCCTCTCCCCTCTCGCCCTATCTGCTCTCTTTAAATCTCTCTCCCTTCGTTTTATCTCTTCGTATTCCTCTATCATTCCCTGACCATGACTCTCTCCCTCAGTCTTTCACCTGTCTTTCCCTCCCTCCACAGCTCACTCGATCCCTTTCACTCTTCCTCTCCCTCTCTCCATCTCACCCACCCTCATCTGTCTCCCTCCCCCTCTCTAACTCTCTCTCTCTCTCTCTCCACTCTGTGGTTTTTCCCGGCAGCGCTCACACTCAGCAGCATCTCTCCAGCAGAAGTCGCTGAATCAGTCAGTCCAGAGACCACCTAAGAGTCAGGGGCGACAGGCAAACGACCTCCAGCAGAAGGATCAGGGACTGTAGAGAGACCACACTGAAGCTCCGACAGGAAGCTCTTTCTCTCCCCCTCTCTCTCTCTCTCTGTCTTATTTTGCGGTGAAGCGCAGGGAAACTTGGACTCATCTCGTTACGCACGGTTGGTGGAGGTTCCTTTGCCCAAAAAGCGCGTCCGGAACCGGGAGAAAGTCCGGGAGAAAACTCGCGGGATTCCGACATTGAAATAACCCTAACTGCTCAAAGAGAATTTGAGGATTTAATTCTCCATCAGTGATATCTTCAAACTGTGAGGATAATGATCTCCACACTAAGTACAGCAGGATACTCAGCTCTGGTGGTGTAATTACTCTGTTACAGCTGTAACTTAAGATACAACACACACACACCCACAGAGACACACAAACACACTCACAGATGGATCGGTGGGGACTTTATCTGCTTTACCTTACATTACTGGGTAAGTGAACACCTGTTGTACTTCAATAATAGTCACAGTTCAAATAACGCTGATGCAAACGGATAATTTAGCATATATATAAAAAATGTTTTCTAATTTCGTTTGGCTGTTTTATTACGACATATAATTTGTCACATGCTCAGTGACACCAGACCTCAGACAGACATGCTGTGGTTTTGGAGGCATATTATCCATTTTAGGATGGATCTGTTCTGCTTTGGTATCCAAACAGACCTTGAATATTACAATAAAATATAAAATACATGTCATTTATTAAACAATCTCATCCCAGCAATAAACAAACTATTGTCAATAGCCTTTACTATACCAATGTTAGTCTAAGACAGTGTCATTCTGTGTATATATATGTATATATGTAAATATACATATAAAATATGTAAATATATATACATATATATGTAAATATATATAAATATATATACACATATATATGTAAATATATATGTATACATATATATATACAGTATATATATTTAATAGCTGTTGTGCTGGACGAGATCATCTTAGATGGCCCCGCCCCCCGCATCTCTCCTTTTCCATAATTTAATGAGGGCCCAGTAATGGGCCCCCTCTACCCAGAGACAGTAGAGCAGTTTGTATCCCTTATCGGCCACCCTGGCCCAGAGGACCTTAAGATTTAAAAGTTAATATGTATCTGTGTCCATTTCTATTGTTTATTCTCCTGGTGGTGTGTCACCGAGCTCGGCTCTTCATGTAATTGAAGGAAGCTTGAATATTGATTTTTGTGGTGATCATCCACTGTTTTGTAAGAGCAGCAGTTGCATCAGTAAAAGCAACAGCAGCAGCAGTGACGGCAGCAGTAACAGCTGCAGCAGTAACAGCGTGTGTTACTTGCATTGCCCTTATATAAACTCAGCCCATCTGACTGAAGCAATATAAATAGGTACACATTTCAGTGTATGCCATTATGACTATATAAATACAGGAACACAGAGCATATCAGTATATGAGAATATGACTATATAAATACAGGAACACAGAGAAAATTTCAAGGACCTAAAATTCTTTCTATGTAAATAATGAATAAAAAAAAGAACCTGAAGTGATAATGGGGAAAAAAACAGCTGACAATCAGGTGATAAAAAGAAGAAAAAAAATTACAAAATAGCAAAAACTGTTAAAAAGTAAGATGAATTGTATTAAGGCTACTTAAAAATAAGCTACGGGTTATGTCAAATATTTTTTCTCCATTTTTAGGTAAAGTGCTTTGGTCTAGGATTATGTTGTTGTGTATGTTGTGAGTGACTGTAAAGGGCCCTGTGATGGACTGGAGAACTGTCCAGGGTGTACGCTGCCCTTGGTCACTGAGTGCTAGAATGAGCTCTGGTTTCATGCGACCCTGAAGATGAATAATCAGCAGGAGATGAATGAATAAATAACATAAAGTACACCTGTACCTGTCAGTGGACTTTATGCAGAATCATCTAGACAATAAATTCTCTGCTGTGTTTTATGTCGGGAGCTGCTCCAAAGTCACATTTACATATGTTCCATTTGAAGGACTGCATGTGTATAGGAGGGAATGATTGTGTTTAATATTAATTTTGAATCAAACGCCTGAGCGGTGAGCTCTGGAGAGACTGAGCTCAAATAAAATCCCACAGGTAGCTGTCAAAGATATGCAAATTGATTTTAATTCCCTTCAATATTTTTTTATTTTATTTTAGTTTGTCACATTTTTTAAAGTTTGTCTTAAGATTTTTCTTTCATCACCAGCAGTTGTTGCAGCAGCTGTAACCCTGTCGGGCCCCAGCTGTGATCACACTGTATATTTTTGATGTAATGGTTTTGACATTGTGGGAAATGACCTGTTTCTGTAATGGAGACAGATAAGTACTGCCACCATACTATTACCCAGCATATTGGCTGGACTCTGGTCCTGCCACTGTCATGAATCTTTACTGTAGTGCAGTGAACAGAGACGGCCATCTTTATGTTTTTACTTACACAACAAAGATACGTCTTTGGAATATTAACGGGGAAATTGCTGCAAACTGTTAGCCATGGCCTCCATTGGTTTTAACCAATTAGTTTTACTCCCTTTTAGGCTGTCTTCACGTTTTTAATTTTTAAATGTTATTGGACTTTTCTTTTTTGTTTGTTTTTGATTAGCTAATGTTTTTGTTATTTTGGCTAATCTTGAATTATTTAAATTAGCTTTAGTCACTGGTTGCAAATAACTCTGACTACCACAGACATAATCGGAAAATCTCCAAAGTCTTTAATTGGTGTTTCCCAATACATTTTTATAATAATAATAATAATAATAATAATAATAATAACTTTATTGATCCCACACACGGGAAGTTCTTGTGCTAACATCTGCTGCAACAGGTTGCCACTTGGAGGCGCTAAGTATGTGGTTCAACTGGGGCTCAAACCCAGGACCTTCTGCGTGTAAGGCAGACGTGTAAGCAGGTGTGATTACCGCAACACTACACAGGCCCTCTTATTAGGAGTCGTTGCGACTTTTGTCACTTGTAAGGAAAGAGCTTGTTAAGACATTAGCGTTGAGTCCGTGCTCCATCTTATCACAGTTTACAGGAAACAAAACTGCATTTATGGATTAAAACGCGGACAGACACGATGGTTCTTAAAATTTATCCAGACACCTAACCAATGTCACAGCTCCTTAAAAAAACCATCCGTTCCAAATTTTTTCCTAAAGCTGCCTCACGTCTCCATCAGTCAGCCTGACGGCTCTGACCTCTGACGCTGACATCGTTCACTTTCACAAATAATCGTCTGCCGGGGATATTAAACTATAATAACTTGGAGCAGAGAATATAAAGTTTGGAGTGAAAGTGGTGCTGACAGTTGAAAAGTGTGAAGGACAAAGGGCGAGGTGGCGGCGCTCCGTCAGAGTCTGCTGGGCCAGCGTTAATGCCATTGATTAGAGGTGATGTATGTGGCTGAAACCTAAATGAGGCCCAATGTTAAAGCTCTAATCCATTATTAAGTGACTACTGATATATCACTGCTCATTCTTTACTCAACCTGTTTACATTTTCTGGATTTATGGGATTTGAGACGGTGTTCCAGGTGGAGAAATGAGGAGCAACAAGGAAGGAGAAAATGAACAACAGATTAATGGTCCAATCTCCGTTCACCTCTAACACGTCTGACTTTGTTCCACACAGACTGTATATAAGTTATGGACATAGGCAGATGGTTCTAAAAGTCACGGGAGTTAAACAGTACTAGCTCCACGTGAATGGAAAGTCGAAAGGAAAATTAGTGGCTGTTTTTATTAGCGTTACTTTGGGCTAACCAGTAGCATTTTTGTTATACTTTTACTGAACTCTATGGCCACGGAAAGCCATCTTTATTTAAATAAGAATTTCTAAAACGGTGGGTAACAGCAAGATTATCATAGGTTCAATCCCTGGTGCTAACTGATGGTCTGTTTGGAGATTTCTCAAGGTACTTTGATTTCACCCCAGAGTGCAAAAACAGGAAGAACTGAGAAACTCTTAATTGATAATTGATAGGTTGTTTTTCTCTAAGTTTCTTCCTCTGATGGAGGACTGGATGGAGGCTTTGCCCCGATGACTGTCGATTGTATAAAACGTTCTGTTCTAGTCTATTCTGATGCAACATGATCTTACGTGGTTTCAGTTTGTGTCCAGTCTAAAGAAAAGGAAAACCATCTGAATCTGGAGAGGGTTAGAAAAACAAACTAACTTTATTCTCAAACCACATCTTTATTTTTTTGTTTTAATAGTTTCTCCTCTGATCAAATCAGACACAGCTAAATTCATAACGACTATTGTTAACATACACGGAGGACATAATAAACAACTCCAAGAATGGACTGAATAGAAACGTTATCAACAAAAAAACCCTCTCCGTGGACAAATTAACTTTTTTTTCCCCCCTTGTATTCGCAGCCAATACTTGGTTTATACAGAAGAATACACAAAAATGTTAAAATACCTCTGGGGTAAGAACCCTGATAGTTTTCGAAATTGGAGAAACAATGGAGCTTGGAGTTGAATGTTGTCTGGAGAAACACTTGATGCTTTAGTGGTAAATCAATCTTCGTGAGAAGACTGCTGAGCAAGCACTTTCTTTGGAAACCTCACTTTTGCTGAGATGTCGGATGAAGTGGTAGGATACAAACAGAAAGGCAGATGGCGCTGCTCTGAGAATTATATGAAATTATCGAATCAATTTATTGAGAAAGTCTTGTTCCGTCATTCCGCCACAGGGTGTAAAGACTAATTTTGTGCGGGAACTAGTTGGCGAGTAAACTTTTGCGGTATAAAAAAGAAAAACTATCAAAGAGCCACCCTATGAAAACCAACTGAAGCTGAGCTTCAATGGGGTTTAAGACACATATCAGGAACATATCAGAATGACTGCATAAGTAATTTGGTTGGTCAGGTTATATCACACGTTACTAGAGGAAATGTAAATCAATTTGTAGATTATTCCATACCATATATGATCTATTTTGCTATATATTTTAAATATATATTCTAGCTTTTTATGGTCTAATGTGTATATGTGTGATGCCATTTTAAACTAATTTAAAGGATTTCACTGTAGTTGGTTTTGCTATTTGTCTGACTCATTTAAATTTTAAACAAAATGATGATGGATTTTGCCTATTTGTTGTAAAAACAAGTACAAGTATTTTGGGCAGCTGTGAATTCCAAAGCCTTGACACTTTATTAAAACTTTGGGTGCAGGTACAGTTTCATGGAAGCAAATCTTGGAAGAACATGTGCAACAGAGGTCCAAGAATAAGTTTTTGGTTGCATTCCATCAAGTTAAGCTGACTGTGAAATTAGTATTTTTGTAGCCACGTTTCTTAGAAAACCAATCCTCTGTACCTCCTCTTCTGTCTGTCAGTGAGCAAGCATGAATAATGTTGCTCAGGTTCTGGTTCTTACTGGTCTTATATAAGCATTTTTGTACAGTTTGGAGCGACTCAGGTAGCTCTAATCCTCTTA